ACAAGCACACGCTCGATTGAGGAGGCGAGAAGCCGCACGGTAGTTGAATCAAAATATAGGATTTGATATGACATGAATGGTGTTTTGGATTCCATATATCTTGGGTCACCACAGACTTATGAGAATCATCCTTGAAGAGTTGCCGGCGTATGCCTTGCCAGAAGCCTCCCTTTCCCTGTCACAGTACTCTATGACCTGTCATGTGATACTAGGATCCAAGGGGGACTGGTTTCACCTCTCATGCTAAAATGCCAGTGACGTCTCGCCAGACTTGGATCTAGGTTTTTGGAGAGCGTTGGACTTTCTTTAGATAGGTAAGGTTAAGTACCCTTTGAGTTCCAAGCTTTCGAATCTATATGACTGGGGAGTTAGCTGAATGGATTTCGATCATCTGTCACGAAAGTTAAGAACTGGTCAAAATTGTCAACTGCTAATTCAAGGTAATCGTGCCTCTATTACCTAGTCTATCTAGATACACTTGGTGGAGAAGCGCTTGCAACTGCACAAAAGCGATGGGGCGGTCAAGAGAGGTAGAAAAAATTATGAACAGAAGTCATGACGGCTGACCCCACTACAGGTCGTCAAGCACAACTCGACAAATTGATTCACGGTAACAAGCGGGAGGCGGGGTGATAAGCAGTATACGCGGGGGTGTCTGTAGTGGATCAGGGGACTTTAGGACGGGACTTTCCCATGTTTTGGGGGGCTGAGTAGCTACTAGTACAATAAATTAGACGAATTACGACTCACGACCTTCTCTTTCCCTCTCAAACCATCTAACCTACTGTGATGTTTGCATGTGTTTCATTGACACCAATGTGTGTGTGTGAGGAGCATGCCTGAGGCAGGTACAACATGCCATGCGCCTGAATTAAGGTGACAGCGGCAACCAATGGCAGGTGTCGATCACACGAGGCCACTGGGGACTCCTAACATTTGGTACTTTCTGTCCCTGCCTCGAAAATTCAGGTTTGGTGGAGGCAGCCACAAAACAGAATACACAAGAGAAAGGTTCAACAGGAGACAGAGTGTCCAGAGCATTCCCGAGACATTATAAGTATAAAGAAATGGCAGTCAGTGTGTGAGGTTGTCCCAAATGCATCAGCGGTACCAAATTCCAGTCAAATCGTATGAGGCTGTTCCTGGTGTTTTGTGCTTCTTTGAGCAACTTGAAGACTCTAGAAGTTTCGTACACAAGCCTCTAGCGCGTTTTCTACTTGGTACACCCCATAGTGGGACAGGGTGTATGACTAAGGAGGGGTCACCTTGGGAGGCTTAGTCCAGGCCCAAAAAATTGACAACGTTCCCCCCCTCCTCCCACTTCGTGACCTTACCTTTACCTGGTAATTTAGTAGTCTCCCTGCAGTGCGCATTTGGGCACCTTTTTATTTAATTTGGACAAACTCTGTTTCGCCTGATTGTTGCGAGAACACCAAAAACTTGAGAAACCCGTTCCTCCACGCCTTAAACGTCCAAACGTGTAGACGTCTCTGTTTTCTGGCATCCCTCACTCTTTCGTGCTTTCTATTTCTTTTCCTTCCGGCGATCTCCCGACCTGTAAAGGCTCCCGCCCCGATCTTCAGCCGCTACCTCACAGAAACCACATCCGCCTTTTAGGTACCCTCACTCAGACATCATGAGTGTCGTTGGTATGTCTCCCTCGTTTACGCGATATGCAGGCGCACGCATCCGGCCTATTAACTCGTCCTCTCTGCGCAGGTATCGATTTCGGAACGCTTAACACAGTCATTGCTGTAGCGAGAAACCGAGGTGTCGATGTCGTACGTATATACACCGAATTGCTGTTGTTGGGATTCTGACGCAAGAGGGCTGACCGTGCCAAACGTACCTTTCTAGATCACCAATGAAGTCTCCAACCGCGCGACTCCGTACGTACATACATATCTGCCTTGATATCGTTGCTTTGTAGCTGACGCCTCTTCTCAGTTCCCTAGTGGGCTTTGGTCCCAAGTCCCGCTACCTCGGCGAGCCGGCGAAGACACAAGAAATCTCCAACCTCAAGAACACTGTTGGTTCGCTCAAGCGTCTAGCGGGACGGACATTCAAGGACCCCGATGTCCAGATCGAGCAGCAATATGTCTCTGCCCCCCTCGTCGACTGCAATGGCATCGTTGGCGCCGAAGTCTCCTACCAAGGAAAGAAGCAGAAGTTCTCGTCCACCCAGCTGGTTGCCATGTTCTTGAGCAAGGTCAAGCAGACTGCCGCCGCAGAGCTCAAGCTTCCCGTAGCCGACGTCGTCATGAGCGTGCCCCCGTGGTTCACCGATGTCCAGCGCCGCGCTCTCATCGACGCTGCTGAGATTGCCGGCCTGAAGCCACTCCGCATCATGAATGACACAACCGCCGCCGCCTTGGGCTATGGTATCACAAAACTAGATCTGCCCGGGCCGGAGGAGAAGCCGCGTCGTGTATGCTTCATCGACATTGGCCACAGCAACTACTCCGCCTCAGTCGTCGAGTTCCAGAAGGGTGAACTGACAGTCAAGTCCACTGCCTACGACCGCCACTTCGGTGGTCGCGATTTCAACCTCGCCTTGGTCAACCACTTCCAGAGGGAGTTCAAGGGCAAATATCACATTGATATTTCCACCAACCCCAAGGCTCTCGCCCGTGTCGAGGCTGCCGCCGAGAAGCTCAAGAAGATCTTGTCCGCCAATCAGCAAGCTCCTATGAACATCGAGTCCCTCATGAACGACATCGATGTCAACGCCATGGTTACCCGCCAGGAGTTCGAGGCATTCGTCGAGCCCTTGCTAAACAGAGTCACTGCCCCTCTCGAACAGGCACTCGCTGACGCCAAGCTGACCAAGGATGACATCGACTACATTGAGCTGGTTGGTGGTAGCACTCGTGTACCGGCCATCAAGGAGAGAATCCAGGCCTTCTTTGGCAAGACACTATCCTTCACTCTCAACCAGGATGAGGCCATCGCTCGAGGCTGCGCCTTCGGCTGTGCTATCCTCTCTCCGGTCTTCAAGGTCCGCGACTTCTCCGTTGCTGATATTGTCAGCTACCCGATCGAATTCTCCTGGGAGAAGGACGTCGATATCCCCGATGAGGACACCAGCCTTACTGTGTTCAACAAGGGCAACATGCTCCCATCGACCAAGATTCTCACGTTCTACCGGAAACAGCCCTTTGACTTGGAGGCCCGGTACTCCAATCCCGAGGAACTTCCAGGCAAGGTCTCTCCCTTCATCGGCCGTTTCTCCGTCAAAGGTGTCAAGGCCGATCCCAAATCGGAATTCATGGTCTGCAAGCTCAAGGCGAGAGTGAATATCCACGGCATCCTAAACATAGAAACCGGTTACTACGTTGAAGAAGAAGAGGTCGAAGAAGAGGTAAAGGATGACGGAGAAAAGAAGGATGCGGATGTAAGTACTGTCCACGACGGCTTCCCCACGCGCATTCTGCTGTGCTCTTGACTGACTGACCTTCCAGGCTATGGACACCGATGACAAAAAGGATGATGGCAAGCCCAAGACACGCAAGGTCAAGAAGCAGGTCCGCAAGGGCAGCCTGCCTATCGTGGCTGGGACCACATCCCTCGATGAAAACACCAAGAACTCTCTCCTCGAGAAAGAGGCGGCGATGCTCATGGAGGATAAGTTGGTAGCTGACACAGAGGAGAAGAAGAACGAGCTGGAAACTTATATCTACGACATGCGCAACAAATTAGACGACCAGTTGGCCGACTTTGCCAGTGAAGAAGAGAAGGAAAAGATAAAGGCCAAGCTCAATGAGACCGAGGTAGGTCGCTTGCACTCGCGGCTTGAAGAGGACACTTGTCAAACTAACTCTCGCTAGGATTGGCTCTACGAGGACGGCGAGGATAGCACCAAGGCCGTCTATATTGCCAAGATTGACGAAATTCGTGCCATGGCTGGCCCTATCAACCAGAGATATTTCGACAAGGTCGAGGCTGACCGCCAGGCGTTACAAGCTAAGCTAGACGCGGAGGCCGCGGCGAAGAAGGCGGCAGAGGAGGAGGCCCGCAAGGCCGCCGAAGCTCAGAAGGGTGAGAACAAGGACGAGGAAATGACGGATGCCGAGCCTGCGAAGCCCGAGGTTGAGGAGAATGCTTCCTAGATAGCCCTCTCTCCAGTGTCGTCCGAGAAAAAACGCATGTGGCCTGAGTGAAGGGTCACGGCAATGCACGAAAAATATGATGCTCATGAAACACAAAAAGACAGAGCGAACAGATGGACGATACGTGCTATTTTGCAACCTGATACTTCTTTACCCCGGCAGCCCGTGGGAAAGCTGGTTCTCTACTGTTGCCCGGGGGGGGGGGGGGGGGGGGGGGTTTTTTTTGGTTTGAAAAGGAAAAGAATATAAAAAACCCAAGAAAAAAAAAAAGGGGGAAATTGTATAATTTTAGAAAAACCGGCACGTTATTGAAATGTAAAAAAA